TTCATAAGGGCTAGCACAGCTCTATGACGCTTAAGCAAATCTTAGGGGACAAAACGCATTTGCTAATTTCTGAGGCCGTCGAGGGCTCCCAGTTCATGGTCCAGGATTGCGTTGCCAGTCGGGAATTCGGCTGAGCAACTGCAGGTGGCCAACTGAATTGGTCTTCAAGTTCTAGTCCAATGAATCAGGCGCTGCTGTTTTTCACGGGTAAACGAGCCGTTCGTATCATAGATCATTTCGCTCACCGGCGGCTTCTTTGGGCCCATTACGCGTATCAGCTGGCATAGATTGTGCACAGCATTTCTTGCTTCTTCTATCTCCATAGCTGCCGGACTCGCCAGGCTTCTCAGTCCACGCCTACGCCTGACGGTATTGTATTGTATTGGCATTGTACTCTCGACCAGGAGGAACACCTGTCAGGGTTTCGTGCAATTTTGGTTTTTCTCGAGATCCAGTGAATGGGACCGGGCACCTGAGTGACGATAACTATCCAGCCCGACATACCGATAGTGGATGTCTCGTTAGCCCCAAGTTGGCCCATGAATTTGCAGAAAGGAAATCGGTTGGTAGGCGCTGTGTTGGAGGATGGAGTCTGGGTTAGAGCTGAAGATTCACGGATTCACAAGGTCAAGGCTTTCGCCCAAGTTTTCCGGGTCGGGGGGGGGGTCAACGGGCTTGTTACAGACATGCGGACGGGCTTTGGTAACGGACAACACATATCGGTAGCCACTGGATAGTTCCGACAATGTAATATACTGTTCCAAGTAGAGGCCCGTGCAGTTCGTTTGAAACCACCCGAAGCAGTTGTGGCACGGTAAGCCACTGGTCACGCGGCAGCCACAACCACAATGGCGGTGGGCAGGCTTAGAACCTACATTCTGTATGGGGATAGGTCGGCTCCTACTTACTACTGGCTACCGAGCACTTAGGAACGCTAAAATGTGGATTACCCAAGAGAAGTGAAAAGGAGGGAAAACCTGGAGGCGTTTATAGACCAAAGGAACCGGTTCAGGATTCGCAGTGCTAGACAACTGAGTGGAAAATTCCCCGGATAAGATATGGTCCAACCTGAGGTCCATAAATGTTGCACACCAATACTTCTCAAGCTAGGGCACAAACTGCTTTGTCCAATCTCATCGCGCGGTACGTTCGAAATCGGTTTCGTTTTTGACTCGTGCAAATTCGTGAAAAAATTTTTTCGTTGTTCAATCTATTCACAGAGTACACACGAGTAATTGTTGAATTTTATTATTCTAACAAAACATTTGAGTGATAACCCTTTATATTTTGCGCACACCTATTTTACATCTAGTCCGAAACATGACGTCAATCCATAC